AGGATGTCACATCCTCTCACCTGTGCATGACCCCACATAACATCGACGATGCCACCGAGCCAGAAGAAGGCTCCAGCCATCCCTTCGAAAAAAGCTAAAAATAAGCGTATGAAACAGTTTTCTTTTCAATCAGGTAATAACCGGTTGCTGCAAAAATGTGTATTCTACATCTGGCAGGGAATTTGATAAGCAGGGTTTTTAAGTTGTCCTTCCCCAAACCTTAGTTTTCGTGTCTGTACACACCGCCTACAGAGATTAGCTTGAAAATGGGATGGGAATATATATAGTGTTATTTCAAGAAATAGTGTATGATTTTTAACAGTTTAGGCAGGAATGAAATTTTCCAGGCCTCCATATTTTCTTACCCTATCTCCAAAGTAAATATTGCAATAATGATGTTTGCTTTTATATAGCACTTTCACTGTCCATACATTTATCTTGCTCTCTTCCTGACCAGATCCCCGTAAAACAGGATCATTCATCCTTACAGGGATTAACGGGCCTTGTGAGTAACTGAAAAAAGCCAAATTTGAAAATGGTCCTTCTTGATTTGTAGCTTAGTTTCTTATCAGTGATTCCCCTATCCTTATCTCTAAATCCTTCTTTTTTTACTGTTATTGCTTTTTTTCTTGCCAAAATATTCCAAATCTTTGAGAAATCAACTGCTAGAGAAACTTGAAATCATGCTGAACTAGAAACTTGGAAAATTTGGTGGCATGATAGCTGAAAACTGGCAACAGGAGTTTCTAACATTATGAAACATTAATGAAATAGAAACTTGCTCAATTGCAATCTCTGGATTACAAAGAATTTAGGAGTTCCAAGTTGGGCAACGCACAGTTAATTCTGGGTTTTTAGCATTAGAAAAGTGAAAATGGACTGCATTCGCCCTCTTTCAGCCAATATTTTTGTGGAACAGAAGGTAGCTGTCAGCTGGTACTATTCCAACGACTTCTTTGACTTTAGACTTGAAAAAAAAAGAGGAAATAAGGGTTTGTTTCAAGTTCTCATTGTTCTCTTTGGAAACTCTAGAAATGAAATACCCCATTTTGTTCAAAACTTGGGATAAATGACTGAAAGAACATGGAATGTTTTGTTCTGAGCTTGGCACATTTGAAATGGCCTTCAAGCCTGAAACATTTTGCACATTTATACTACTTTGTTCTCCCCTAAATTTTGGAGAAGTTTCTTTTGCTACCTGGAAAATTTACACAGCAAGAAATAGGGGGTGGGGGGTGGTAGGAGGCAGATTGAATGATTCCCCTGAAAAGAGATAGTAAGGTAGGATAAAGTCTTCAACTTTACTCTTGGTGACTTCATGGTTGCATCCATGGCGTCTTCTTGGCAGCAGGGCTGTCCATGGTATGTAGGTGTGTGACAAAAAAGTCAAGATGGGAGCTGTTTTACCTGCATTGCAGCTGCCATCTTGACTTTTTTGACCTACCCCTGCATTTGGCGGCAATCTCCTTGATATTTGCAGTATCAAATATTATCCACTTGATACATGTATTCATCCTTGCCTTGGTTTTTATATTACCTCCCAATTTTATGGTAATCAGAATTATTAATTTTAGGTTAACTGTCTTAACTTTTTTATTTTCAGTGGAAAAGCAGGGTAGAAATTCCACAGTATTTTCAACTCTTGGAAGGAGCCCTGACCATTGAATGACTGCCCCAATTCCCCCTTTGCTTTCTCCCATTTGTTTGTTTGTTTTTTGGTCCAATTCCTGGTCAAAACCTTAACAGTTCCAGTGATCCCATTGTCACCACCAGTTAAAAAAGCAAATAGGGGATCTTTCTGAGCGCGTTTCCCCTCAGCTCAGCAGCAAGAGGTTAGTCCTCCTATTTGCTGCTTGAAAAAGCACTGTTATATCAATGCATGTTATATTCCATTGTGTCTTTGTGGAGAAGCAATTTCTCCAATATCACGAGGCCTGCGTATAGCCAGCCCTGCTCGATTCAGATGCTCAATGAAACCTCATGAACCAAGGACAGGGAAACCGAAACCAAGTGGTTTATTTATTTGTGCGTAGAGAAGGGGAGGCAGTTTGGAGCAGCAACGCAAATCCATTTCCGCACTCGTTCTTTACTAGCCACAAAGCATGTTCATCCTCTTTGCTATTTTTACTGGGATGTTCACTATTTCCCTGAAAAACACTCTTGCTTGCATGTTAGCGTCTATCTTGGAAGTCCTGCTCTGCTACCTTATCTGTATCGTATCTGCACTCCACTGAGAGTCTATACGGCTTCAGTAGTCTATAAATGTGAATAACAGCACCACCTGCCAGATAGATTAATTAAATTGGCCAATGTATCCAGTCTCCTTGGTGGTATCTCCAATCTTGCAGAAATCTCTCCCAAATGAATCAGGAATGCAGCTTTTAGACTGCCTTTCCCTTCCCTCCCTCCCTCCTTCTCTCCCTTCTTGGTGACGCTGGCCTTTTGTGACTGGGCCGTGTTTAAAGTCCTTGCAAAGCCGTTGAGTTTTACAATATCCATGCATCTGTTCAGAATAACGCCTGCTGAATGAATGCAACCTATTACTCCAGGTATATGTTTCTAATCTGTGCGCAGCTCTGGAAAAGCGTTGCCCTACGCAGCAGCCTCGGGCATATCTTAAATAAATGTTTTCCTCCCAATAGTCGGCTCAGGATCCAGACATGGACTTTTAGGAATAGAATAAAAAGCAAAAGGATGGAAGAGGATGGTCAAACCAATATTCCTTAGGCAACAGGGTATTTTAACCCAGGGTCACCCACTCCCCTGGTCTGGCACTGTCCAGCTTGAACTCAGGAGTAGCAGTGATCTGCATTCCAAATGCTTGAACCCTCAACCAGACATATAGTAAGCCATAATCAGCGCTTCATCTCTTCAACCTTTTGGCAACCAATGGAGACATGCACGGGTAGGGAACCCCTTGCTGCAGTGACTTCCTGTCATGCAATAGCTTCTTTAATCTTGAATTAAGCATGAGCAGAACATGCAGGAAAAAGATGTAGAATCACGCAGTAGTCACACAGTAAATACAACATGGAGCTGCTATTCCCTTCGTGTCCTGTTTGTGGATTTCCCGATTGCCCCAGGAGGAAGCAGGATGCTGTGCCTGATGGATGTCTGGATTAGTCCAGCAGAACTTCCTAAATTCTTAAACAGTTTGGTTAGATAAACCAACCAATTCCTGCAGCTCTTGAGTGCCCTCTAAAGACCAAGGATTATGATTTGCAGGGAAAATCTTGACAAAATGGGAAGCAAAATCTCAAGACTGTTCTCCTAAATTTGGCACTCGATAGGTTGGATTAGAGTCCCAGGAACTTCCAATCAATTTTGCCAACTTTGGCCTCATTCACTGGGAATTCAGGGAGCCGTACAGTAATCCCAGCACACTGGAGGATACCAGTGTTTGGAAGTATTTAACTCCTGGAAAGCTAGCATGCCATGATCAATCAAATCCACAGCATGCTAATTTTCAGAGAGAGTGGCAGTTCTTTACACCGAAGAACATTCAGGCAGGCATTTTTCTGGATCTGAAGTTTGGCAAACTTGAATATGTTACATTGCAGAACAAATCAATTATTTTCTGTAGGCTTTTTTTGTTCCTCTGATATTTTTTATGTAACAGAAGCCCTTCAAAAATTCAAGAATATACATATATTGCTGTTATACATTTCTGGAGTTTAATTATAAAGCATATATGCAAATGTGAGGTAGCCCTAGCAACCTTTTCTATTTTAAATAAAGTGCTCAGTTTTAAATAATCAAACCAGACTCCCGAATATGTCAAGATGAGATGGATTAAAGGTTTCTTCAGTTCTATGGGCACAAGAAGATTTTTAATCCTTTCTCTTTCTTCCTTCTAGTCTGAAATGCCAGTTTAGATAAATTCTCCATTTATTTTCTAAGACAATAACCATGGTATCCTTTCCTTAAGTCCAGTACCTTAATTGCTGCATTACACTGGTCTTATCTGCAACACAACCATCACCCAATTTTGGGTGGGGGGGGGAGACTGGTCAAATGCCCAGCCCTGCCACCAAATCATTAAAATGGGTCCTACAACTCTTGTTTTGGCAACAAACAGTCAAAGCCCCATTATAGACTAGAAACATTTCCTTTATAATATTTGCAGCTCTAACACAGAAGCTGTGCATTTAAATTGAGGCCCTGGCTGTGATTCAGAGAAGCACTGGAACAGATCTAAACATATCCTTTCCCCCCCAAAGGTGGCCCCTCCTTCTCCCATCTTTGAAGCTTAAAAAGCAATTTGTGATGTTCTATGGGAACTGTGGCTTGTAAAGGGGGAACAAGAAAAGGAAAACAGCAAAACCTATCTTTGCGTAAACATATACCTGCACAGAAAGAAGTTAAGGCAGAGTCTCAGACCTAAAATAAACTTGAGCCTATAATTTTGAAAAACAGAAATCAGAATAGAAATCTTGGGAAAATCATTATTTAAAAACACTTTATTTAAAATCACAAAACAAGATTCTCAGTGCATCAACCTATCTGTCAAGGAAACATGTTCTCAAATTGCGAATGGGACATAAATAAAAGCACTGTAAAACAGGATGTTCATGGGCCAGTCTAAAGATAAGGTCACTGTGATGGCAGTAAGAATGCTTAGTCTGAAGAATCAAGAGAGATTTAATTCAAGACAGTAATACCATTAATATGTTATAATAACGTATTATTACAAACAAAAAGCAATCAGGTTTCTTTAAAAAAAATGGCTGGCAAAAATAAAATATTGAGCTGGCCTAGCAGAGCACTAAAGACATTCAACTGACTGGATTTACACACTAAGACATTATACGGTTCACTTGGTTTTACTTTAGTAAGTTGCCTGACCCAGCCATTGTGAATCCAGTCACTGCTGCTTTTGTAATTACATCACAGTTTAACAAACCATGACAGTATATGTGAGCCCAATGTGAGATATTATTTTAAGAGGTTTATATTAAGATTATACAGATAGAACATAGATGGTTTATGCTGTATACCTAGATTTTAAAGAATTAGAAATGTGGGTTTCATCAAATTCCCATGAAGAAAGCAGCTGAATGGGGGGGGGGAGGAGGGGGGGAGAAAATAATAGAAGGGTATTACTGAATTTCTTAAGAACATCCAATTAAAATCAATGATATAATCTTAACAGGATAGAATAAAACACTTCTAAAACAAGCCTATTAGAAAAGCAGATAACATTGAAAAAACCCTGCTTATATCCCGAGTATTTTTTTTTCTAGTATTTCATGAAAGAATCCCAAATAAATTGAATATCTGATGGCTAACTTAGGAAAGCACTACTATCAACCTGCAGCACTGGGAATGTTTCAATTTCACATAGTAAAGTTCTACACCTTTATCACTGGAGCAGAACCAAAGCGAATTGTTATGAAAGCTTTCTTAACAGCTACGATATCTCTGAAAATATAACACCAAACTTTTTTTTTTTTTTAAATCAACCAACTTTTCTTTCTCTAACTTCTGCTGGGGTTTGTACAGCTAATTCTTCCTTCTTCTTGTTATAAACCTTTAAGAGATATTCATCAGGTTCAATTCCTTTTTCATGCAACTCAGACATGATTTTCCCCAACCTTTCCAATGTCCTTGCACTCTGTAGTTTCCGAGTTGTGACATATAAAGTAAATTCTTCCAGGCTCATTAGCTTACAAGTATCAACCTCACAGATATTTCTAACATCTTCGGCTTTATCCAATTCTGGGAAGAAAATAAGACCAGACATTTTCTCTAGGTCTTCAATGCCAACTTGGAATTCTTGGAGCTGATGGTCAAAGCCAACAGGGTTGTTAGGTATCACGAAGGCTCCAAGTACCAGAGGATCTTTGAGTACGTCACTTCGTCTGGCAAGAATTACTTTGTACAGATGAGAAGGTACAGCCACATCATCTGTTCCAATTACCTATCGGCAGAAGGGAGAGATTGTATCACTCAAACTCATCTTAAACTAGGGCACAACTCCAGATCTCATTTTGATGTAACATGGAACTGCCAAACCAACAATAAACTTAGTGAGCAGACTTATTGAAAACTGCTCTGATGCAACATCAAGACATTTGTAACTCTGTCTTGCAGAATTGCCAAATAAACACAGGCTAATGGTTGACAATGTTTCTACCCATAAAATAAAAACAGTGTGGTTAAAAGGGAAACAAGTTAATTCTCCCTCTAGATTGATAGAAGACATTGCAAAAAGATTGGAAAGGAGACATTAATTCCCTGTGAAGGTGTATGACCCAAGTGATACCCCTACACACACAGCATGGTTAAAGAGCTATTCTCTAGGATTTTTTAACTGTGTCAAGGAATTAATGGTCTCAAATATAAACAGCAAGTGAGAAATGCAACATGATAATGCCACATGGAACAATTCCTTTCAATACTCTAGCCAGCTAGCTTTCATCCAGGAAATTCCATTCCATTCCTTTTGTTCCCCATCCAATTTGAATCTTCTTAAGCAAGCCCTTAGTCACTGGTTGAGGATGCTCAGTTTTTGTGGTCTATTTTGGATTGCCTGCCCCTTAAGATTCCCTCCCCTTGTTGTAAAATATGGAGTTCCCCAATTCTGCTGATGCCTCCATCAACCCTGCAGATCGAACGTGCTATTAGCACAGCCGCCTTCAACTGGTGTCCTCCATACATGATGGCCAAACTGGCTGGGATACTAGGATTTGTCATCCAACACATCCCTAGGTTAGAGAAGGATATATTATCATTTACAATTCTGAACTGTAATAGAAAGTTCTCAGGTACTATTTAAGGAAGTCATAGCAATTAAAATAGTTTATTTGTGCTTTAGAGCTTAGCAAAAACATTCCATAAAGACTCTAGTGGGTTAAACAGATGTAGGTAGATGGCTGTTGTGCAGAGATTATTCTGGAACACTGATTGCACAAGTTTCCTCTTGTACCCTATACATCTGATTTGCTATTAAACTTATCAAAATGAAGAGGTATTAAATTTATTGTGATTGCAAGAACAGAAAGTATTTACCAAGGACAGATGAATTTTACTGAGACGTAGTCTGTTTTCTTAGACTACTGGTTAGTTACAGAAGATAATTTCAACGTTTTCATTAACTCATACACCCACACACATAAACACTCATGTAACAAACACAGGCAAATATATGGGAACAGACAGTTACCACAAACTTATCAATTTGTTACCAAAAACCACACGAAGCAGAGACACGCAGCACTACAGTATGTTTGACATAAATTCAAGCTTCAATAAATAACACTGCTTTTTAAAAGTGTGTTTCCATGTTGCTGGGACTCCAAATCACAAGAATAAAGAACACGCTTGTGCATATGAACACTGGTTGTCATGTGGAAGGATTGTTAAAGGTTTTATCCTTTTTCCTTTGTGGGTGGGGAAAACACTAGCAAAGAAAGCTCGGGTCCCACTGAAATTCTCAAAGTAACATTCCTGCATTTCATCTTTTAAAGTCTGAATACACTGAGCTCTGTAGAGATATCAGATTTTCTTACTCTGTTCCATGTTACAAGAGAGTTTGGAGAATGTGAAATTCAGAACATAGATCTGAAGCGAAAAGTAGATAGTTTCTGCATGCACAGAGCTTCAGCATCCCTATGAGGGATTGTGGGGAGGCCAGGAAAGGAATGGAAGGGAGAGTAGACATAGACATTTAGGTCCACCGGCAAGCTGTGTGAGACTTGACAATCCACAATCATGCCCTAGAACATCTGGACTGAAGGAATGGTGGCTATGGAATGGCTGCTTTTCTATTCTGAGCTCTAATGTTCCTTTGTGATTTATAACAGGAGGTAGCAGCATCTTGCATAAAAGTAGAATCTAACTATTAACCTCCTGACAAACATAGCAACCAAAATCTTATTTCACCATGTGAACTGCACTATAACAGACTTTTTATGATTATAGTGCATTCTTCAGACAAGTAATGTGCATTGTTCCACATGATTGCTCAGCTCAAGGAAGCTGAAAAAAAAATCAGCATGTTAATAAGGTATGTCTGTTTAGATTTAAAAGGACTATCTTCACCCTGAAATATAGTATGAGGAAACACTTTGTATATATGATGCCGTAGCGCCACCCAGTGGATGCTTTACCCAACATTCAGAACTGTAGCCTCAATCTCCTTCATTTAAACCCAATAGTTCTCTCGCTGTCATTTAGGACAGACAGCTATGGCCTTCTGTTGAGGGAACAGAAAGCATTAGAAGATGATCTGCACATATGCCTACTTTGATTTGTGAACATCTATCCACATGTATGAAATGATAAAAGAATTGTCATTTATGGCAGCAGCAACAAAACATATTAGCTAGAGAACATTAGTTTCCTTCCCAGGTTAACAGTGACTTGCTATGGTTAAAAGTCAGTACATATTAAACAAAATAAAGAATTTTATAGTGCAACTGTTTGACATATTATGCTTCAGTACACTTATATATTCTTATTTCTCTCTTCTGAATGTCATTCCTGTAGTCAAGGCATTGTCATAGGTTCAATCTCCCTATTTAACTAAAATTAATCTGTATAAATCTAGTTATTCTGTGTGGGCGTGGGTGCATTATTATTTTGGAATTCTAATTAATCTGAACTTATGTTGTTCATCTTCACTTTCCTATATTTGACATATCTAAACCTCACATTTGAACCTTATTCAAAGATTTTTTATTGTTACCATAGCCTACTGGGAGCCATAAGACTGTTTTTATTCCTGTCTTCTAAACAGAGATAACCGGGAATATTAGGTTATAATAAGTCCTCGTAGGGCTCCCACCAGAATTGTAAAATGAGTAATAACAGAAAAAAGGATATTGGTTGGCAACAGATAAGGGGAGGGAAATGGAGTTTGGGACTGTGGCATCTTGAAGGACCTGCAATGAAACAATCACATTTTCTCCTCAATATTACCTGGTGTGGCTCAGCCCCCCCGATATTTCATCTTTTGTGTGTATGTTGTGCTAAAAGGAAGGCTGCATGAACTGGTCTGCTTTACTATAAGATAGTGATGCCTTTATGTGCTGTTCCTGTACAAACTAAAACTGTGTATGAATCCAACTGTCTCTGCTGAGCACCTGAGAACTTTCCAAGGCATAAAAGCCTCAGGGAATAGCCCAGTCCTGAGACATGAAGGCAAAGAGAACCTATTGTAAAGTGTGTGTGGGTGGGTGGGGGGGAGATCCTAACCCTGGGCCACTAAAGTCACATCCAGAGTTCTTGGAATGAAAAGTATTTTCTACAGCTCAAAATACTAGAACTGTGCGCTGTGGGCAGCCAATCTGGATGGTTTTAAAAAGGGAATGGACAGGTTCGTGAGGCTCAGGCTGTAAACAGCTACTAAGATTGATGGCCGCTTGGTGACACAGAATGGTGGACTTGATGGGCCTAGGGCAGTGTTTCTCAACCTTGGCAACTTTTAAGATGTGTGGACTTCAACTCCCAGAATTCCCCAGTCCCCACGCTGGCTGAAGAATTCTGAAGTTGAAGTCCAGACATCTTAAAGTTGCCAAGGCTGAGAAACACTGGTCTAGGGTCTGACTCAGCAGGGATCTTCTTGTATTCTTTTAACACAAGACAAGTAGGAATGTACAGTTTTTTACAGAAACTGGTCCAACAATTTGCACTGATCACAGAGATTCTGAAAATGGAAAGTACATGAGTCATGCAACTGTATGCCTTATCAGGATTATTGTCTGGTGACTGGGATATGTTTTGGCAAGACAATATGGCGTTTATGTTCAAGGAACAACCTCGATAAAGACATGTAAGTAAGGCATACTTACGTTCCACAGGTGTAATTAGAGGGCAATCTTTAGATGCCGCACAACATATAGAAAGACTACAGCTCCATGAGAGCACGCAGAATTGTTCGTTTCTAGGCACCTAGGGAACAAGGTGACTACTAGAAGTTAGCATAGATTTATTAAAACAGGCCAGGCTAGAGAAATTTTACTGCTTTTGACAAAATGACTAGATTAGAAGACCAGGGGAATGCTATGGATGTATTCCTCTATTTCAGTAAGGCATTTGACAAAGTCAGCTTAGATTCCTTTTTGATAAAATGGAACAATGTTGGATGGATGGTCTCACTCCTAGACAGATTTGCAGTTGGTTGAACATACCCAACGTGTGGCCCTTAAAAGTTTCTGTGTCAACATAGAGGAAGCCATCCCATGGGGTACCTCAGGGATGTGTGCTGGGCCCAATGTTATTCAATTTTTCATCAAATTTGTAAATGACACAAAGCTGGAGGGCATAGTGCTAACACCTCAGAAGAAAGGCTCAAGGTTAAAAGGATCTTGACAGACTTGAATATTGGGTTCTAACTGAAAAAATGGAGTTTGGTGGTGAGATATGTATAGTGACTGGATCAACAGTAGTCCTGTGAGAAAGATCTGGGCATCCTTACTTGCAAACCATAGATTAAGCATCAGCCAGCAGTGTGTTGCAACTGCCAAAAGAGCTGATGCTGAGGATGCATCAATAGAGGTATAAATTTGGGATCACACAAAATGATAGCTCTACTCTGTGTTGTACTGGTCAAACTACACCTGGAATAGTGTCCAGTTCTGGTCACCACAATGCAAGAAAGATGCTAAGAACTGAAAAGCGTGTAGAGAAGAGTGACATAGATAGTGAAAGGCTTAGAAGCTAAATCCTATGAAGAATTGTTAAAGGAATTGGGTATGTTTAGCCTAAAGAAGAGAAGCTGCTAAGTCTGATGGAAGTGGTCCCAAAAAGAGAGAAAGCTAAGGGGAGATATGATAGCAGGCTTCAAACATTTGAAAAGCTGTCACAGGGAAGAAAGTGTGACTTACCCTCCATAGTTTCTGAGAGTAGAACATGAACCAATAGGTGAAAGTTTTACAGGGGAAGATCCAAACTCAAAATAAGGAGGAATTTCCTGAC